TATTAAACATTTATTTCACTGAATTTTTCCATTTAATTTGAATGATTCTTCATAAGCTATTCATGAATTTAATGTATTTTTTCCTTTGGCATTTTCTTCTTTCTCTGTATTTTTTTTCCTTCTGTGGAAGATTGTATCTCAACTTCTAATAGTTCTCTCTCAAGGAAAGCCTTTGTTTCCAGAGTAAGCTCCAGGTGCCTCTCTGTAGAAAGTCTTTAACAACATCTTCTGCAACTTTTGAAGGACACTGCACTGAAATTTATTCTGTGAGCCACTGTAATTTGTCTGAGTGAGGATTTCAAAGAATTATTTTATAAAGTTTGATGTTGTCACTTGTGACCAACACATTATACTCTCTTTTTAATTCTTGTAATGTTAATTCTTGTAATGTTTTCCTTCTTGTCTGAACAAGGTAATGGACATGACCAATAGCAGTGCCAAAGAAGGCTTCATTCTGGTGGGCTTCTCAGACCAACCCCAGCTGGAAAAGATACTTTTTGTGGCTGTTTTGATATCCTACCTTCTTACCTTGATGGGAAATTCACTAATTATTCTGGTCTCTTCCATAGACCCTAAACTCAAAATTCCCATGTACTTTGTCCTTACTCACCTCTCCCTAGTGGACATCTGTTTTACCACCAGTATTGTCCCTCAGCTGCTGTGGAACCTCAAAGGACCAGCCAAGACCATCACATCCCTGGGTTATGCCATCCAGCTTTATGTCTCCCTGGCATTGGGATCCACTGAATGTGTTCTCCTGGCTGTGATGGCTTTTGACTGATATGCTGCAGTGTGCAGATCTCTCCACTATACAGCTGTAATGATCCCACGCTTGTGCCAGGTTCTGGCAGGGGTCGCATGGCTGAGTGGAGAAGGAAATGCTCTCATCCAGGGCACTGTCACCCTCTGGCTACCTCTCTGTGGACACCAGAGGCTTCATCATTTCTTCTGTGAAGTCCCCTCCATGATTAAGCTTGCATGCATGGATATCCATGCCAATGAGATCCAGCTTTTCGTTGCTTCATTGGTCTTGCTCCTTTTGCCCTTGGCACTGATATTGATATCCTACGGACATATAGCCAAGGCAGTTTTAAGCATCAAATCAGTGCAGGCCTGGCACAAAGCCCTGGGGACATGTGGATCCCACTTGACAGTAGTATCCCTCTTCTATGGGAGCATCACAGCCATCTACATCCAGCCTAACAGTTCCTATGCCCACACATAAGGGAAGTTCATCCCCCTCTTCTACACAGTCATCCCCCTGACCCTCAATCCTCTCATTTATACCCTGAGGAACAAAGAAGTCAAAGGTGCACTAGGAAGAATATGCCACAGAGACTTACGTGCATAAAAAATGAAGCAATGTACATCACAAGTCTCTTAAGTATCATCTTGTATAATCTAGGACAATTCGTAATAGCTAAACTGTGGATCCAAACTAGATGTCATTCAATAGATGAATGAATTAAAAAAATGTGGCAGATGTACACAATGTAATTTTACTCAGCAATAAAGGGAATAAAATCATAGCATTTGCAGGTAAATGGATGGTGTTGGAGATGATAATGCTAAGTGAAGTTAGCCAACCCCCACACAAAAGAAATGCCGAATGTTTTCTCTGATATAAGGAGGATGACTCATGGTGGGGTAGGGAGGGGGAGCATGGGAGGAATAGAAGAATTCTAGATAGCGAAGAGGGGTGGGAGGGTAAGGGTGGGGGTAGGGGATTAGCAAGGATGGTGGAATGTGATGGACATCATTATACAAAGTACATGTATGAAGACACGAATTGGGTGTCCAAATACTTTATATACAAACAGAGAGATGAAAAATTGTGGTATATATGTGTAATAAGAATTGTAATGTATTTTGCTGTCATTTATTTATTTATTTTTAAAGATCAATAATAAAAAATGTCCAAATCATAAACCTTTATAAATATTCTATAATATTATATAATATATTCTATAATTCTATATTCAGTATTTACAAAAATATGAATCAGAACTTATTATTTCCCTAGCACTTGCTGATTAAAATTTAAAAAAAAAAAAGACTCTCCTGAAAGAAACATTGAATAAGCCCCCAAATCTTACAGGTTAGAAGGAGTTTAAACACCAGGACTATAAGTTCCTGGCAAAGACATTCTTTGGATACAGTTGACCATTTTTACTCTTCTTTAACTCAGGGGAAATGAATGCAGGGAATCAGACGGCCTGGACTAAATACTGATAGATCTTGTACTTGGCGTGGGGATGAGATGGTCCAGACTTCTATTCCTTGATTTCCACAGGTATAGGATGAGGAAAGTAGCAGCACAGGGAAAGTTTTCAAGGTCAGATTAAACAATACGTTTAATAAGCATGAACTGTCACTTTTGTATTGTCCAATTTAAGTAAATGGTAGTGATTTTTGTTGTTGTTTTGTTGTTGTTTTTGTTATAGCTAGTGCTAAGAAAATGTCCACTAAATGTTCTTGAAACCAGACATCACAGAGTCTGACATTCAAAGTTAGTAAGAAATTTCTAACTATTTAGAAATATTTAATAAACTATTGAGCATAGTTTAATTAATTATAATATAGATATTTAAGACATGTAACCTCAAAATGTCCTAAATATGAATTTCGGATGCTTTTCAGAATTAATTGCTGTCAAAGCATTATGTTTTGATAATATATCATGGGATTCATTGGTATATAAATATGTGATTAGCAAATAAAAATAAACAAAAAGACTAAAATAAATTAAATATTTTCATTGATTATTGCTGGATTGCAAAATATACTGAAAAATTAGAATTTTTACTTTTTTATACTTTATAAATTGTTATGGAAAACATGCATTTTTATATTTGTTTTAATAAAAAGTCTGCAATGAAATGTTTTATTATTTTTAATATACATGAGCTACATGTTTATTGAAGAAACCTTCGAAACAAAAGAAAAAATCACCAATTATGTGACTGACTAGAGAAACTACTGTTAACATTTCATTTTGATCCTTTCAAATTTATTTATACAGTTCTTAAAAAATAAAAAGGGCCTCTTATACAAACTGTTTTTAATTCACTAATTCTTACTAAACCATTCATTTTTGCTACACTAATAAATAGAAATCATCATCATCTCTAATATCAGCACATAATTCCTTTCAATAATTGTAGCATAACTGCCAACCATTAAGCTATTTTTGCATGTTTAGATTATTTCCATTGTTAATTACTATTTATATATTCAGGTGAAAAACATATCTTTACATTAATTGAACAGTGTTTGGTCAAATAAGGGTATCTAGCAAAACACACATCTTGATCATTAGTGAGCATTACTATTATCCCCTGATGGTAGAAATATCACATTATGAGAGATTATATCCTATAGTTGGCAGATAACCTTAAGTCATGGTAGCATCAGAGTTCTCCATTTGTAAATATTTTTCATCTTTAACTATTATATGAATAGCTATTAACTCTTCCTAAGTTGCCTTCCTGACAACTAGATGTTCAAATCTAAGACAATGCCTTTATAGGTGCCTTGGGTTACTGAAGTATGTTGTAATCATGTTCATTTCCCTTAAGAACAAGTTTTTGGATGATCTCTAAATGATTGAGTCAGGATTCATCTGCACACATGAAATTTTGTAAATTATATAAAAATCTTAAAAATGATTTATAGTAGTCATTTTTAGTTTAGTTTTCTTCTTTTGTCTTTGAATTTTAATATCATTTCTGTTTCTTAAAATTTTTTTTTCCATGGAAACTCTTGATGAAAATATCACATATCTTCTTTTTAATATTTTATAGCAAATACCTCTAAAACCAAAGTTTGGTTGTTCTGGAGTGTTAATAAATTTTTATGGTATGCACAGTTCGCAAAAAGAATTCTTTGACCTGTATTATGTGCCAATAATTATGGTTGAAGAATTTGAAAACATTTTTATGAAAGGAAATAATGCATTTCATAGTTATTAAGGAGTTAAGTGCTATATGGGACAGTCATGTGTGGAGGGCTGAAGTCAGATGGGTGCTCAGAGTCTAGAACAGGTCTGAGAATGTGGAGTGAGAATTTTCCAAACTTCTGAGACATAACCTGGTAATTTTAACTTCCAACCTAGAATAAAATATTTTGGAAAACCTGTCTAGTGTTAGACTTAACTTCTAAAATTTTTTAGAAGCCAGGTTCCTTTCAGAATTTGCAATCAGAAAATAGCTCTGAATATAAAGTATGTTCACGCCAAATTATGCCACTATTGTCATGTATGTAAGAAATAAATAAAAATTAAAAAAAAAAAGAAAATAGCTCTGAGTACAGTGATAACTCCAAAATTACAATGGTAGTTATAAAAAATGCTCCTTACAAGACATGAAAAAGTACATAGTTTTTTATTTGTTCACTCTTGGGTTGAGTGTGCCTCTTTTTAAAAGAGCAAATAAGCATGGTCCTCTGATACCTATCCATGGTTCAAAATCTTTCTTTTACCCAGCGTTCTCCGGAGAGCTTCCTTGACTTCCTTGTTTCGTAAACTATAGATGATGGGGTTGAGCATGGATGTCACCACGGTATAGAAGAGGGCTAGCAGTTTATCCATTCCTGGTGAGTGGCTAGCCTTGGGCCTCAAGTAGGTAACAGATCCTGAGCCATAGAAGAGCGTTACTACAAGTAAGTGGGAAGAACAGGTGGAGAGAGCTTTCCGGCGGCCCTCAGGGGAGGGCATGACCAGGACTGCAGCTAGAATTCTGCCATAGGAAGCAATGATCAATAAAAATGGGCTGGAAATGCAAAGGATTGCCACCACAAAGACCGCAGCCTCATTATGGGATGTATCCCCACAAGCAAGTGCCAGGATAGGTGGGAGATCACAGAAGAAGTGGTCTATCTCACAGGGGCCACAGAAGTCTAAGGAGAAAATATAATTGGTTTGGCCCAAGCCTACCATGCATCCCACTGTCCAAGAAACCACTGCCAAATGGGCACACACCCCAGGACTCATTCGTGTTGCATAGTGGAGTGGGGAACATATGGCCATATAGCGGTCAAAAGCCATGGCTGCCAAAAGGCAGCACTCACTGATAGCAAATAATGTAAAGAAAAACATCTGTGTGGCACAACCCTCCCGAGAGATTCCTCGGGCCTCACTCACAAGGCTCTGCAGCATCTTGGGTATGACAGAGCAAGTGTAGCCAATCTCTAGGAGAGACAGGTTGGCCAGGAAGAAGTACATGGGGGTATGAAGGACTGGGTTAGTCCAGATGGCAAGGGCTATGAGGGCATTGCCCGTCAGTGATGCCAGGAACATGAGTAGGATGAGGGTAAATAGAAGGAAAGACTGTTCAGTGACGTCAGAGAATTTGGCAAATGCAAAACGTTTTACAAACAAGCTGTTGTCCTGCCATGAGGAGCAATTGAGGCTCATGTCCTGTAAAAAAGAACAGCAGAGTAACCAGAAGGATTCTTCAAATGAGGGAAATAGATCATTGTATGATTTTTGAAGAACTCAGAAGAAGAAATTTCTTACCTGTGATTCTAAAGTTCAGAAATTACTACTCATTCTCATACCTTTTTAAACCAAATCCTTTTCTGTGTTCACCACTTCAGTTGATTTCTTCAAAATGTACTTAGCTACCAAGCAAGAAATGGAAAAAATGTTAATTACATTTCAATTCTCCATGCCTTCCTTTAAAAATCAGTTGTCAACTGCTACCAAATGAAAGTCCTCGTTTCTCTCCATTCCCATTCCACTGATGTTCTTTCTTTACTGGTTTATTCACCAAATTTTAAGTTCAGACTGTATTGTATTTACTCTTGTAGGCATTGGGGTTAGCAATGAACAAAAAACATTTCTCTACAAATAAGGCTTACACTTTAGGGAAGGAAAACAGAAGTAAATAATTGCTGCAATGTATAGAGTTAAAACTAGAATATGTTGTGGTGACTGACCAAGTTTAAATTGGTGATGGGGGTAGGGTCCTTGAGAATGAGAAGCATGAGCTGAGATGTGAAAGAGGAAGGGCAGTCTTGCAAAGGCTGCATCACAGCCAGAGACACTGTATCTATGCTGTACTGCTGAGATAATTACAGTTCTGGAATTAATTTATTCATCTTAGTATATTTCATCTTCCATTCATTATATACCAAAGCATTTTTGCTAAATGAAAATTATCATTTCCTTCAAGTTAAAGTTCACATTTCTTAATATGATTAATGAGAATTTAAGAATCAGGTCACTTACAATTAGTACACTTTTTTTTTAATCTCATTCCTTACTCAGGTGGACCTTATGTTACAGTTTCTTCAAACTGCTTACACCATTTAATACATACCTGGCTTGCATACATTTTGTTTTCTTTGTGCTAATTTTTATCTGGGGCCTTGGTGATTGCCTCCCTGATTATTTACCTGGTCAACTGCCTTTCTAAGTTTAAATTCCAGAATAGCTTTGTGTCCTCTCTAGAAGTCCTTCCTGACCTCTGCCTTTCTTTGTTCCTATACTAGTCAGTTACATCCCGCCCATCTGCATTCCCATCACCCTATAACTGCTTTGATAGCACATACACCATTCTGTGATGTTGGTTTGCTTATTTGAGACTAGCCTTAGACAAAGACACTGGTATGGGATTTTATTATTTTATTTGCTTTTGTTTACCATTATATCTACCAGTCTTACCAATCAGCAAGTTCTCATGTGATGAACTCTGACTACCTATACATATTCTGACCATTTTTGCATATTAGGTTTCCTGAAGTTCATCTGATCTCTCTCAACTATCTAAAATGTGACAGTTATTTTTTTCTGAATCTGATAATTACCAACTTTTGATGAGATATCCCTTGCTCTTTTGTGGGTGTACTAAAGTTTGGATTGCTCATTTTGAAATATCACTAACTAAAAATCTAAGCAATATTTTCCCTGAACAGGGAAGAGGATAAGGAGATATCAATTTGATTGATATCTTGGCATAACCCAAGATCATGTTTAAGCTGCATTTCTAATATCACATCATTATATATACCACATTTAAACTGGTATATTCAAACATAGGTTTTGAGAGGTACTAAATTATTTTGAGCAAACAAAAAGCATACTTGCATTTACAAAAATATGTAAAAAGTGTACATTTTCACTTATACAAATATATAGTTATACCTATGGGCAGAAACACATACACAAAAATACACAGAGTGCTATGTGGTTAAGAATATTCTGGAGAGGGCTGGGGATGTGATTCAGTGGTAAAATGCTTGCCTGGCATGCATAAAGCCCTGGATTTTTGACTCCCAGGACTGATGGGGAGAAAAAAAAAAAAGAAAAGAAAAATACTATGGAATTATTATATATGAGTTCAAATCTTAGACTATCTATCTAATGCTGGGTTAAAGTTAACATTTACTTAAACTCTGTTCTCAATTTGCTCATTTACAAAATGAGATGATAATATATTTTCCATGAAGTTGTTGGAAGAATTGAGTTAATTCCCATGAGCACTTAAAAAGTGATTAAATGCTCAAGCATTACTACACAACATATGCACATATGTACACATATGTACATGCTCTGTCTCAGTATATTTACCTTGTATCTTCTCCCTTTGGAGAATTTTACATTACAATCTATAATCTTTTCTCCTATTCATCAACTTCATCTTTTTCTCATGATTTTTCTATTCATCTACCATCATGGAGAGAGGAAAAGCAAATAATATATACAAACAAACAATTGCCACTGGAATTTTATGCCCTGGACAAAAGAAGTGTGCATTGTTGGTCATTTTTTAATTTTTTTAAGTTGATTGTCCAAAAATCTCTGCAAATTTTCCAAAACTTAAGTATGGAGAACAAGTAAACTGATAAAAATCTCTATTACATATGAAGCTGCAACTCTGTATAATTATATGAACTCACAATGAACATGGCTAGTATACAATTTCTTTACATTGAGTAGTCTATTAGGATGCATTAACACTTATCTGAAAGCATTTATAAACACTTTCCTTCCACTATGATTGATTTAAACATCTATATTTCTCATGTAGTAACACAATTCACTTAAGGCTGAGCCAAATAAAATTAAGATAATGGTTAACTTTTCTTTTTTTAAAAACACAAAGATTTTTTCAACTATCTTAACTCTTCAATAAAAAGTTATAGGTTATGCAGTTACATAGAGGGCTCTGTGGAGATGTTGACATCTTGTTTCATAAGTTAAATTTGCAGGTATGGATGTTACCCATTGTATAGTCCTGCCTTTGGGAGGAACTGCAGTTTTCTTGAGGATACTAATGGAGAGAACAAGTGGTATGGTTCAGCCATAAAAAAAATTGTGATGATTTCTTAATCTCATGAAGATTTCCTTCCATGAATGTCTTTGTCCTATTTAGACTGCTACAGCAAATGCAAATCCTTGTTTTGGAGGTGAGGGTCAGACATATTGGGGAAAGGGAGAAACAGACTGGTGGATGGGACACAGCTTTATATAACAATAACACTTTTTGTAAAAGAATGTTTTATTTTCATTATTACCCATATATGGAGATTAATATGTTACAAAAGCTGTCAAAGGTCTTCAGAAAGCAGCTTTGTCAAGCAACCAGAAAAACTCAGCATGCAAATCACCTTTGCCTCTCATCTTATACATTTTCTTAACTTAAAGTTTCTGATTATTTCCTCATAAAGATAGGATGATTCAGCCCTTCTTATCTTTTTTGTTATGCTGTATTGACTAAAAATTACAAAATTACAGAGGCAAACCATGAAAAAACAGTAAACAGTGGCCATTAAAAATGCAAAACATTCTGCCCTTTGAAGCTTCATGTTAAAGTATTCATGGATTATTCTATATTCTATATTATTATCGATCTATAAAATAATCTATATTAAGAGTTAGAATAAAGTCATTTAAATAGGTACACATTAAATATAATGTGAACATACAGCAATTCCATACATGATAGTAAATTATGTTTTATCTCTACTGCTATAAAATGTTATAACGTAGCTGTTAAATACTGGTGAGGTTGTGAAGGTTTGAATCATGAAATATATTTTTTCATGGTAGTTGGATATATGCAAGAGATGAGGAAGAAGATACTTTTAATCCTTCAAAAAATAGATCTATGATTGACTTCACATGCTACTTTACACAGCTCCAAGATTTAAGATAGATATACTCTTTATAGTTATTATTTGGAAATAATAAGGGAAAGCATATTCATTTTGGATTGTTGTCACATAATTATAAATATTAATTGACTGTCCCAGTTTATTATTTCATCTGTTTTTATCATGAAATATTTCTTTACTTCCTATCAGCCAAAGGAAAGTATATGCTATACAGTTAGATAATGCATCTGAAACACTTAGTACAGTGCTTCGCACTAGGAAACAGTCCATAAATGTTAACCTTCATTATTCTGCAGTTGTTATTTCTAAAATGGATTAATAGTGCATAAAATTTGTAACAATTGTTCATGAAAAGATTATTAGGCGCATTGTCTATTTCCACAGTTACCCCAGACTCACTTCATCAAGGTCTTAACAAAAACCAATAGAATTTTTTTAGTACCTTATTGAATTGCCATGTACAGGTTAATCTGGGTATTTCCATTCCCCAAAAATAAGATAAATATTATTTTCTATGAAGTAATTAGTTGTTTAAACCAACTCACAGCTATTTTCTGAAAGGGGAATATGCCTCTGAATAAAGTGTTACACTTCTCAGTGAAGAAGACAGTAACTAATTAAAATAATGACAAGAAATAGAAATGCTTTAAGTATCAGCTATCCATTTTCACACTTTAATGTACTGTTTTCAAAAGTCCTCTATTCTTAACACATAAGCAATGATACATACCTTGAGTCATAAAATTTAATGGGAGAAGTAGCTGATTATTGTTTCTGATGAGTATGCCCTGATTTTCTCTGTATTTCATCCTGAAATTCAGAGGATGTAAATCTTCCTTATCCTCATCTTTCAGATGGTGCATCTAGAAGCTTTTGTTGTAGACAGGGACTGTGTCTGATCTCAGGAAGATTGCATGTCTCCTGAGTACCTTGTCCCTCCTAGCAATGTCCCCAGTTACCTACCCACCCCACATTTACAAACTGGAGAGAGAGAAGCATACAGAGCCATACTGGTCATATGATAGTACTTTTGAACCTTCCTTTTTTCCTGAAAAACAATGGCTTATAAATATATAATACTTCAGTTCTCTTCTGCATTCTGAATCCTTATCTTTACAATCACCCCAAGAGACATAATTTCTTTTCACTGGAGAATGTCAGGAAGCAGTTTGATTCTGCCTCTAGAGAGTCGTCATTTACAGGTCTGTCTCTATTTGTAGGCAAATGCTGACATTCGGGAAGCAAAAGAAATAAACCTAACAGGCAGACAAATTAATGGTCAATATAATTAATAGCATGTTAATGGTAACCGTCATT